CCTGCACGGCAGACTTGTTGCCGTTTTAGCATCTCACCCTAGGTGCATTGAACTCGGGCTTAAGATAAATTATTGGGGTTGTGGTTGAGGTTGTTCTGGATTCCGAGTACAGTCACCAGGATGTGAGCTAATCGGAAAATGATCCACCTCGGAAAGGAAGAAATTTATAAGGTGAACTTTAATTTCATTTGTCTAGAGAAAGACAAAATGAAAAAATAAATTTTTAAGGTAAGGGTAAAGGTAAGAGGTAAAAGGTTAAAGATAGGGTAAATCAAATAAACAAACTTTTGTAAATTTTTTTTTAAAACATTTTTCTTAAACAAATATTTATTATACAATTAAGTTAAATCAGAATTCTGAAAACATTTTAATTTAACCCGCAATGTACATGTAACTATTATATTTGTAATACATCAAATCAAATAAGCCTTAGGCGATTTTAATAAACAAAAACTCAAAAACATTGAATTTGCTGGATACAAAAGAAGACGTTTTGTCGAAGTTATGCCCAGTTAAGGCAAAAATACATGGAATACTTTTAAACATAGGATCTCCATTTCACTCCCCTATTTACCGAGTGGAGTCCGACTGCCAAGATCGCAGTGCAATTAAATGGCAACCAAGCAAGCGACACTCTGGTTCCGCTGGCAAACTTTGGGCGACTGCCATTACAACCCCTCCCCCATTTACCCTCCTCCAGCGCCTTTCCCTTGGGGTACATTAGAAACCGAGTCCTCTTCGCGGGGTGTAGTGAAAACAGACGAAGCGTCTGCTCTTGGTATCAGAGATGTTCAATACCTTATATTTTAAAATAGCTAAGTCAAGGTGTTTAATAATAATTTTAAGGTACATAAAATATTTTATAAAGAAACATTTATTTACTAAAATTTAATTTTAATGAGTTTTAAAAGAAAAACCTAATTATACCTACTAGAAAATTAAGCAGGATATTTAAAAGATTGTATAGAAACGAATAAATAATAAGGCATAGAGTTTAATTATATAATTATATTTTAAAGCTTAATCTAATTATGGTTGTGTAAATAAATAATATTAAAACCGTTTAAAAATTTTGTGGAAATCTAAAAAAATTAATTTTAAAATGGCTAAAAAATGTCTGGATGGGCAGTTCAGCTCTGGAAACGGAATCTAACAAAAGTGATGGACCGGCGCTGACTGCACGTTCTGCCCGCGACTATTTTTAGCCCCGTCTTTGGCTCTCCGTCTAGTTAGCATCGGGGCAGATACACGTACATCCGAACGCACGGATGTATCTGGGTATCTGAGCATTGAACGCATAGTATATATCCTCCTGTTGCCGAGGGCTGTTGCGGCTGCGCTGCCTTACTTCTGATATTCCATTCCATCCATCGGATGCAGTTGCCGCCAGCTCGGCGATCCGCTCGTCTCAATTGCATTCCAGCGCGCGTTCGGTACGGATACGGTTTCGGTTACGGCGGACAAAAGATACGGATACAGCAGCGCCAATCGGATTAATTGCCACATTGGATTATCAGTGAAAAGTGAAAGTGAAAGAAAACCTATAGAAAAGTGGCATTATACTATTAAAATCTTAAAAAGTGATTGCTTAAAGTTCCTAATATATATTAAAGAACATCGATTGTGAATTAAATTCAACTAATCAAGTTGGATTTTTAAAAACTGAAATTCCAAGATTTTTCCAATTAGAACTCTTAAATCTTGCATAAGCAAAGGAATACAAAAAGTCATTTAAGGTTTGTTTTAAAACTATAGTTTAATATTGTAGCATACTTTTTTGATTATTAATTCAAATGTCACTGAAAAAATTAGGTATAAGTTAAATATCACCATCATGCTTTAAACGTCTCATATAAATATAAGACATACCAAAGAGGAAATATCTTTGAATGAGCACAAATAAACAATACCCAACAGAAGATAAATAGATACATTATTTTGGATGCAATATATTTGTTATATTTAGAGCTATTATTTTTAACGGTTACAAAACTGTTACTTCCAGTTATAATAGGAAATATATTTAAAAAAAAAGTTAGAAAACTTATTCAGCCTCTTAGTTTGCCCCCTCTATCAGAACTTAATACAATCGCCAGAAATGAGTAATACCAAAGTAACTCGATGTCGTCTAAGTAGCTGGTGGAATGCGCAATATTTTGCCGACCGGGGATCGGATCCTAAAAAGGGAGCATCTTTCAGTGACCACATCCCAGAGCATTTAAGTGGAAATGTGGAAATGTCTGGAGCGGCGAGCCGAAACAAAGGCAGCTGAATTTAAATTGGGAACCGACTGAAAAATGTCGCATGTTCGATGGGGCGCCCATTGGCTTAAAAATGAGTAAAAAAAAGAGGCGGCAAAACGTAAACAACACAAAAAGAGTGAAAGAAGCACAAGTTCAAGATTCTCACAGATACTCCCAACTCACACAAACTCATCCGTGGAATAGCTAAAAGTAGAAACGCGCGCAGACGAAGCAATAAACTGCACGGAAAGTAGTTTAATGCAGTTTGCTGGGGATCCTGGGCCCCGTCACCCAAACTACCCCCCACCCCCTCTCCATCACCACCACGCCTCTTGGCGCACGACAAACAACTACAAATACAACAACTGCAACCACGTCGCGCCGCTTAGTTTTCCTCCGCCGATCGTTTCCCCGATCTATTTTCGTACCGCTTTGGGATGTGTAGTTTTTCGTCGCCTCGAGTAATTTGTTTCTTGCATTAGTTTTGTGGAAAATCTACACTGCAAAAAAGTTATATAGAAATGTACTTACCTTTTTTTGCCAAATGAAAAAAAAAAGATATATTTGCTATATATTGGAGGTCTCTATTCTATTAAAGCAACATTTATTTTAAAATAAAAAAACTGAGATTTACATTTGCACAAATAGGTCAAAAAAATTAATAGCACATTTTATTATGTATATACAATATTTCTTCATAAAATCTATATTTTTAAATAAACGAAAAAGCATAATTTAGTTTGTCCAATTTTGGTAAATTTCTTTGGATATAAATTTGCACAAAACTTAAATAGACAAGTATATAGTCAACTAAAAATGAGCAGTGCAGATTCGGCAAACCTAAGCAAACTTCAGCCCTGACTAAAGAAAATTTGCCCTCAAACAAACCAATGGCAATGTTTATTTAAAACTTTGCACTGCCAAAGTCAACTTGCGGTGGCAGTGGCACAAGCCAAACGTTAGTTTTTCCCCAGCGACATCAAAATAATGGAATGGGGGGAGCAACAGCAGCAACAATAACTATTGCAACACCTACTCGAGGGGAAAATCTGGATGAGCCGGGGAAGGGGTCTAGATATGTCAAGAGGCCGACGACATTGCAGCAGAACTACAGTCAAACTTCTTTAAGCTAAACGTCTTTATTTACTTCACTTTACCTCTTGTATTTTTTTATCAGAAAAATGTAAAATACTGGATATTGATTCAACTGTCCCAGTTATTTTTTCTTAAAAGTCAATTAGGCTTAAATTTTTTTTAAATACTTTAGAAATTTATAGGTATTCTAGTCCATAAAAATTATTTAAAAAATTGTATATAAATTTCATTAATTATATCTGAAGTACTTTTTTTTCCCCCCTTTATAAAAGGTTTATATTTATTCAACAATAACAGGTATACTGCTACCTATGTGGCAGCTTGAGCAGGTTGTAAATTACAGGGGATAACAAAATGTGGGTATAGATGTTTATACATTAACTCTATATTATTTATATTTTAAATTTTAAGCTTTAAACGGTTAAATGGATCTTAAAGGAAGGTCATGTGGGTGGTATTTGTATCTGAAGTACAAGTTCAAGTTATGTAAGTCAGACTGTCTTTTGAGTTCCTTGCTCCGAGGAAGAAGCAGCTGAAGACGTCAGCAGAATCGCTGCAGGGGGCACCCTCACACTTGAACACAAAAAGATAGACGGATACGCACGCGCACCAAATGTGAGCGAGATGCGCATGTGGTCATAAAAACGAGGGGAAGTTGTTGCCTATGTCTATCGCTCGGGGGACACTTCCGTCTCCAGATCTGTGTACTTCGTGGTGCCCTGCATGTCTGCAGTTGCTATGTACCTACCCCATTTCCCTGGCCCCCTCACATGTGGGAACCGCTGGAGCTGGAGATTGATGTTGGGACAATTTCACGTCCTCCTGTTAGCCGGGCATTAAGTGGCATTAAAGTTGTCCGGGCTTATCGCTCACGAGCAGAAGCTCGCACCTCAAGATGCAGCTACACAGGAAAAAATTCTATTCAAAAACTAAAATGTTTTTGAAGAATTGAGAAATCGAATTCAAGCGAAATCAAGGAGATATTTATTTGATTATATATATATTTATGTTTTGAATTTAAAAACCCAAAGCTGGTATATCCGATTGATACTAGATAGCAACATATATAAATGTTTTTCCAAGTGTCATTATCTTTCACCGAGCTCAACTGATCTCAACTCATTTCCGCTGGAAATCCATATATTCGAGTGCGCCTTTATGGAGGATCGTTAAAGTCAAGACAGTCCCGAAATTACATATGTCAAATTATGTTTAATTTAGGGCATTAGCCAGGTACAGTGGTGTTTGGAGAAGCTACTGTTCTATACTGTACTGATAATTGGGGAGGTTCCCATGGAATGCATTACATTTTATTGCTCAAAGAAACTTTTTTGTACTTTAAAGTGTGTTGTTCACTTTTTTAGACGACGTGTTATAACTGTAAAAAATTAACAGTATGTAAATATTAAACAGAAAGTTTAGAAGTATAGAAATATTATAAACAACAATGACCTCGAGTTAGAGGTCACCGAAACTTAACAATTTTTAACATTCTTAAAATTAAAGAATTGAATGTGGATGTGTTCTAAAATTAAAGCTATTTAAATCATGGCAATACTATTATTATTATTTTATATTTTGAAATTATTTATTAGTTTTTGATCAAGTTTACTGAATACAATTTTTATTTCAAATAATAATAAACACTGGTTATTTTTCAGCATGCCCACGCTGCAGCAAATTGCTCTCCCGATGGAAGGCGATCAGTCGGAGCTGCAGACGCCCCCGCTGCCGATAAACCCGCCTCCCAAGTTGCTGGCCAATGGAATCGTTTACGGTTTCCGCACCCGGCACCTGTCCTGCATCGAGGAGAACGACTCGGACTCGCTGCACGGATCGTCCATTCCACACGCCTACGATATGATGCAGCAGGCGGACGAGACCTTCCAGAAGTTGAATGCCAACGAGGAGCAGGACGAGTCGGGCAGTGAGGAGGAGGGCCTGGAGAATCTGGACGACACCATCGCCATGATCGATGAGTCGCGGCTCCTGGAGGCCGATTACCTGGACGAACTGGTGGCCGAGGAGCAGTTGCAGGAGCAGGACGAAGAGGAGGAGTCGTCGGATCTCGTGGACTCTGGCAATGTGGAGGAGGACTTCTGGCAGCCGAGCTTCAATCGTAACGACATCATGATGACCTCTGTCTACGGAGCTCTGAATGGTTCCTTGACCAGTGAGGTGTCCTCGAATGCCATGCCGGGATATTCCGATTGCGCCACGCCCAGAAAGGAGACGGAAGCCGTTTATGCCACGCCGGAGAAGCGACGAGCCAGCAATCGAAGTTTCGACTCCACCTGCGCTTCTCTGACCAGTTCCCTGTATGGAGGATCAATGAACTCCTCGCTGGATCTGAAGTACGCCACCTTGGGCGGTGGAGATTTGGGCAGCGGGGGAATCAGTGGAACCAGCACTTTAAGGGGAACCTCGGTGCCTCCGATGGATATATCTATGATGTCCAGCGATGGAGTGAGTGCCCTCGACTGGGGATCGGCCAGTGTGAGCTGTGTCTTGGACTCCGGCGAGGGTAATCCTGCCGAGGAGCTCAACGAGGAAATGGCTGCCAAGTGCCTGAGTGCCGCAGAAAGTGGTGAGTGAAAGTAACACCTAGATTTTATTCCTTAACTAGGAAAAGTAGTTTCTAAAGTCCCATTACCTTTCGTGGGAAAACAACAGGATATCATTTGATATTCGATTTTATTTTTTAATCGCCAATAATCGTAACGCCTATTTTGCTAGGCCTTAAAACAACCGTTAGGTGGAAACTATTAACCCAAAACCACTTAATTAACTGTAACTTGTAAACAAAACTCGGCTTTTATATTGATCACATCGGCGATTTCTCTGCTGATTTCTTCTTGCTGGCAGGGTAATCCATCAATGCGTCAGGGCATTAAACTCATTTACAATCCTTCATTACCGGACATGCAAACAGGCGCACCGTTTTAATGACCCACTCGCAGCGGACCCATTTCGCTTTGCTCGCCATTAGAAAGGCAGCCCGCGAGGCGGCGGCTGACCCCCAGCACTTCCACTTCCACCCTTCCCTTGGTCCTCTCAGTCCCCCAAATCCCCAATCTGCAACTGCAACATCATCAGCAGTATCCTAGGCCAAAAAACTAACAAACTTCCACTGGCCGTGGGGAAGGTTTTGTACACTTAAACAAAACAAGGTGCAAAGATATAGATAAATAAATACAATTTTTAATAGAACCAAAAAATGATAATATTTTTCTAAATAAAAAAAGAAAATAATAACTGTTTATAACCAATTTATTATTATTTTGATTTAAAAAGACTTCATACTTGCGATGTTTAATATTCTTTTTAATCAGTTATCTAAAGTAAATTTAAATTAAATATTAATTTACTAAGTTCTTGTGGTAGACTAGTTTCCAGTGTATACAATTCGATTGGCAATAGAGTAAACAAAGCGAGTGAAAGCCAAACAAGTGGCCAGACTTTGCCCATTTCACACAGATGTTTAACAAGCCCGCCCGGGTCATAAATCATCCAAATGGATATATTCACCGCGTTTATCCATCTCCCATTTGGTTAGCATATGACCGAGTCCCGCGATCGAGTAGATCCTCGGGGTGAAAACTCGCTGACATTGACAGTTTCTAATAAGAAAATTGGCCAAGATTTATGCTCGTGCTGTTGACTTCCATTTTAATTTAAAACTAATCAATAAACTGGCACAGCCAACCGGGCGGCGAGAGCAACAAGAGTGTTCAACAAATTGCCAAATGATGCTGCAAAGTGCAATGTCACAGTAATTTACGTGCCACTCCAATGGCCAAATGCTCAACGGCCACAAAGCTGATGAGAATTTATGCTAAGGGTTAAGTGTCAGCCTCGTCAATATATGCATAGTGGGTGGTTTCGCTGACGGCTGCCATTAAAATGCATTTGACCATTTTCGGCATGAGATCATCATTAGCTGGCTTAGCTCAAACTTAAGAAGCACTTAAAATTTTTTTACAGCGTATTACGAGTTGTGTATTATTATAAAAAATATTCCAAAAAATTACAAATTATTCTTATGGTCTCTAAAATCATTATCTTAAAAAAGAATCAACTAAATCAAATCAAGGCTTTAAAATCTAGCCAAGCTTAATCACCTGTTTCTAAATAAAAATGTTAACTGCTTTTTAGCATTATGTTTTAAAAGCTATCAAATAAAATTTCTAAGATTTTCAATTTCACCCCATGGTGCTGCAATTTCGCGGCTGTGCGTGTGTGTTTGTGCGGAAAAGTGAAAAGTCATGAATCATATACATCATGATCACACCAAAGCGAACCACACCACACGACCATGGCGAACTAGGATGGATGATGATGATGATGAAGCTGCAGCGGCCGGGGCATCGGATATGCGAGTGGATGGGCCATAAAGTTACATGGCTTATCGCTGGAAAACTTTTAAAAAACACTTGAGATTGCGCCGAGAACGAGCGCGGTGGCCGGAGCAAAGCTAAGAGCGCTTCGAAGACGCGTCTACGAACAGGTATAGCTTTTCTACAGAAGAGCCTAAGCACACACACCGCCAAGAGAAAGAGCCACAGAGGCGAAGAAAGGGGGCTTTGAGGATGGAGGTTGGAGGATGGAAAATGGAGGAGTTGTTGGTGGCTTGTATCTACAAATAGACGCGGACTGACGGCCGCAAGACAAAGTCAAACAAAAGACCCAAACGGTAGTTGCCATGAATGGACAACAGACTCGAAACCGGCTGGGAACTACAGTGGACCATCTAAATAAAATATAGATGGACGAAATGTAGCTTTGTTTATTGTTCTGTGACATTCAAAATATGAATTTAGGATCACCCACGAGCCGGAATGATAAAAAAAACTCTATCAAACTAATTCTATTGAAATTGAAAAGTACTAAAATAAAAAGGAATAGAGATAAACATCCTTTGTTATAACATTTACCTATCCATCACAATATTGCGAAAATTTAACAGAATGAGTTTTTTTAAAATTCACATAAATTAAATGTGATTGCTCTAAATTCAGAAATGAAAGTTCTTGGTAGAGACGTTCAACTGTATCTGCATCTGATGGATACGGGGCGCAGACTCCAACTGAAACTTCATCCCGAACGCAGTTGCAAATGCAACTTTGTTGCCCGTGGGCCCAGCATGGACTCCTCGGACGGCCAACTATTTATTGGAATGGATCTCGGGACTCCGACCCAGTCGCAGATTCAGATAGGAGCCCCATAAAATTACCGCGCACGCACCGGCGAATGCGAATGCATTTTGTGTGTTCGATAAAAGGCGAGTCGGCGATTCCCACAATCGACGTTGCACTTGAATTTGAATTCGCAATTGCTCTCTCAATATTTATGAGTTGAACTCTGTAGTTAGTTTCTTTTTTAGGCTGCGATAATAAAATTGCTGCCAGCAAGGAATAGCTGGGATTTAAAATCCAAAAGTTGAGGGAGCATACTTACCGCGTAATTTATTGGTGGTAATTGAGGAAATGTAGCTAAGACTTTCCGAAAAATGAATTTATATACTTAAATATGATAGAGTGGGTCACCAAAATATTCTTTACTCCAATTTTAAGAGATCAATTGTTTAATTATATAAATTTTTGTTCGTGTTGCAATCTAATCTCTTACATTATTTATGGAATTCTTATCTTTTAAATGCTTGCAATTAGACGTCATTTCTAGATTTTTGCCTTGCACAGATTTCCTCGACCAAAATAAAGGAAAACTTGAACCAGATGGCTCAACTTCTGCTTCTACCTCGTCCCGCTCCCCTTATCGATGCCCATTAATCAAGATTGTGTCAAAGGTATTAGCTCATTTCGGGGGGCTCAACATGGAATCGACTCAGGGTCTATGGGGATCGGATCCAACATTGGAACATTTCGGCGATTACAAACTATTACCGTTGTCAACTGCCAGAGGTAACATTTTATTACGTGAGCCCCATGCTCTTTTTCTTTCCCCTGCTAATGAGTAGATTAATTCTAATGTAATTGAAACTGTGCCCGGTTTTCGCTTATCGAAATGTTCGGGACTTGGGCAACCGCAGCGTGATCGCTAATGGGCTGGAAAGCTACCAGAATTGGTAGCTGAAATTGCTGATTTAGTTCGGAGCATTGCAACAATATTTATGAATAGGTGCAGGGCACTTGGACACTAGAAGATAGGGAGTTATCGGTAATTTAAACTTGTGTACCCACAATTTTATATTGGCCTATTTCATAATCATTTTTTTGTAACACCCATTTAAATTACATTTTAGGACAACAAAATTATAAAATAATTAAATAAAAAGCTATGTAAAGTATAAAAAAAAGTTTTGTAAATTATTTTACATATTAATTACTCAAAAACTTTTGTTTCTATTAGAGCATACTCTGCAGATTTATTTATTTTAGATAAAAACTGAACATAAAGACCTGCGACAACTACATTCAGGTTGCTACTTATCTCATCCTTATTGAGTACTCAAAGTATGTGTTAACGATGACTCCATTCAAAAGCAATTTCCACAAATCTCGGACACCGATTCGAGGGCCAACATCCTGGCACATTCCCTCACAAGAAGTGCCTCGCTTATCGCGAAGATAACTCCTGGGGAGGGAAAAGTATCTCGTGGGTTAATGAGACACCAGAGGCACGTACGCTTGCGTCATCGGTTAGTCGAAATGAAAGAAGGGTCTGAACCTGAAGAGCAGCAGAAGGGAGACAAGACCCTTACCCTGGCTTTTATGTTTGCTATTTCCAACTGACACCGCGATAAGCGGCGATTCCTGCAGTCAGCACCTCAATCAGTCAAAACCCATGAAGAACAAATACAAAATCCACAAGTGCTACCAGTGTATTTGAGTGTACCAGCTAAAAGATACCCAGTATTGAAATGCAGAAAACTTAATTGAGTAATTATAAATATACCTATATATATATATCTATACCTATATGTTGAAAATCACAAATGGGTGGGTCTTGAGTCTAATATGATTTTATGTCCACATACCAAAATTGGTAGCGCTAGCTCTGAAGGTCTCTGAGATCCATGGGATCATATGGTTATGAATCTTCACCCTATAAGTAGGCTCGCGTTAGATGCAATATACCCCATCCCTCCGCAAGTAAGGGGTATACAAAAATAAATACAAATTCAACGACAACGAAGCGTGAATGAATTTCCTCGGCGCAAATTGAAAAAAGAGTGATAGTGATAGTGGAACTGATAAGCGACGAGCGCCGTGCTGAGATCGCGTATCGCAGGGAAAGAGAGAGAGAGAGAGAGAGCGGTACTGGAAAACCGGTATGTGTGGAGAGTTTCGGAGAGTTGCCCTCTCAGCTGGCTCAAAGTGGAGACTACTGGCTCGACTCTCCGCTTCTCTGGCACTTTTCTGGCTTTTGCGCTCATTTTCGAACCGCACTTCAAAGCTCGCGCAAGCGTACCGCATGTAAATCGGAACAGAAATCGCCTCCGATCGGAAAACCATCACGACTCGCGATCGATCAACCGGCATTTTCTCATTCGCCACTCTGGATACGGTTTCAAATCGCAAAACGTGACAAGTTCCCTGGAAAATGTGCGAAAATCGATAAATTAAA